TTGGGCTTCGAATTGCTTCCGCATCCACCGTATTCTCCAGATCTGGCCCCCAGCGACTACTTCCTGTTCTCAGATCTCAAAAGAATGCTCGTTGGGAAAAAATTTTCGTCGAATGAAGAGGTGATCGCCGAAACTGAGGCTTATTTTGAAGCAAAGGACAAATAGTGCTACAAAAATGGTATCGAAAAGTTGGAGGATCGCTATAATCAGTGTATCACCCTTGAAGGGAATTATGTTGAATAAAAAAAACGAATTTTGCAAAAGAAATGTGTTTTACTATTTTAGGCCGGGGACTTTTCAATTGACCTGTTACAATATTTTATGAAAAGAATTTCTTTATCTTATAACATTGAAGAAAACTGAAGAAACCTTATCATTTCCCTCAGGCCGGGGAGGTGATTTTGTAGGCGGCATAGATAATGAGGCCCTCGACTTTTCACAACTCGAGGCCTTCATTAACAGCGATGGTTCGCAAGGAGGGGGTGATTATTTCAACGACACCCTCACCACCACCACCACAGCTACCGCTCCTGGCGCATCAGCAGGTGGCAAACTTCTCAATGTAATCGTTGAAAACAAGCGGCCAGGGTAAGTAACAGTAAAAAAAAAAACCCTCGTCTTTTGTTGATGGTGACATGACACAGTTGGTCACAACATCTTTCAAACTGTTTCTGTAGACATGCCTTGCCAGAAAGTCCCCCAGACAGCAGTTCGGAGCACCCCTACAGTCCCCAAGACAGTTGCGACCCGCCCATTAGTTCTTCGGACTCGATGTACACTACGCTTGAACAACCCCTGTACAAAACGAATCTCCTAAACCCCATAATCACTGACAATCTCATACTTGGTTCGCACATCGTGGTGACGGACCATAATACGGACCCCCAACTTATAGAAAACGGTACCATCTTAACGGACGGTAGACTGTTGGTAAATGATGACTTAAGGACAAGTCAAAATCTGTTACAAAACCGGATAATACAAGGAAACGAGACCAGCTTACTTCACGAACATCGGATGCTCCTTCAGGATAACAGTTTGAGTGACAGTAATAGACAGATACTGATCCAAAACAGCGGGAATTCGAATCAGAATTATCCAGAAAGGACGTTGATGATAGACGGCTGTCCAAGAGCTGAAGGTGGGACAATCCACGAAAGGATATTGAAATATCTAAAGGTGTTGCATTTTTAGGTCTGACCAGAAGAAATGGTAATGACATAGTTTTAGTTAAGAATGGAGATTATGAAAAGCCCCAGTTGGTGCATTTGGGCATCAGTCCTAGTATCGATATGCAACAAATCGGGACCAGGGCCACCATGGAAAATCCTTTATGCGAACCAGGACTGGATAACATACAAAATGTCTACACCAATCTCCAAAACAGTTCAAAAAAGAGGAAGCTATCGCAAGACTCCCCACTCGTCAAAAGTGAGCCAGGTACTGCACAATAGATATACCTACAGGGTGCTTCACACTATTTCTTTATGATGATGGGACACTTTGTACTTAATAATACAAACAACCTTTGTATTCTGTAGAACATTGTTCACCAAGTCAGTTGAGTCCACCGGATCCACTAGCGACTCCAATCGATGACGATTTCGCTGGTTCGGAATCGTGCTTATCAGAAGCACAATATCAGTGCATAAAATTCTCACCCTTTCAACAGACTGCTTGGCATACATTGTGTGATCAAAATTTAACAGAATTGTAAGTGCAATCAGTGCCTAATTCACGTAAATTCTATTTATCCATGTATCTCGTTTAGACCAAATCCTCATTATCGTGTCGATGCAGACAAAGGTTTTAACTTCTCCAACGCGGACGACGCATTCGTGTGTCAGAAGAAAAATCACTTTCAGGTAAATAATTAATTTAGTAAATATTATCAAAGTCCGAAATTGTAAGGTTGGTTGGCTTTTGTTTATTTCAGATTACCTGTCACATTCAGCTAGTTGGCGATGCTCAGTTCGTAAAGACCACTGAAGGTATTCAAAAGATATCTAGCTTTCACTTGCACTTCTACGGGGTGAAGCACGACTGTCCCACACAAACCATAAGGGTCGAACAGAGCCAAAGTGATCGCAGTAAAAAACCATTTCACCCCGTTCTGTAAGTTGCTGCTGTTTATTTGACCTTTTCAAATTATTTTTATATAAACTGGTACAAATCTCTTCATCAGGGTGGAACTGGTTAATTCACAAGTTACAAAAATTACCGTTGGACGACTGCATTTTAGCGAAACTACGTCTAATAATATGCGGAAAAAGGGAAAACCTAATCCCGAACAAAGATATTTTCAGGTATGATAGAGGAAAATTAAAACCTATTGAAGACAATTAATAAAAATTATAATTATTACAGCTAGTCGTAGGTCTTCATGCCCATACATCGCACGGGAACTTTCCCATAATTAGTCATGCAAGTCAAAAAATAATAGTTAGGGTAAGTTACTTGTCTAAAGTCTAAAATACGAGGGCGGTTCAATAAGTACCCGTGTTTGAAGACAGAGGAAGTTCCTGAGGGAAATTGGTGCTACCATTGTGTACTGCCATCTATTATACGACGCCAAAACAAATTTTAGACTGATTGATAGGTTAGTTTGGATTTGGCAGCCATTCGACTGAGACGTGCTTCGTTGTTTTCGCTAATATGGAAAAAGAGCAGTATCGTTCGGTAACTCGCTTTTTGTTTTTGGATGGGAAAAAATGCGAGGAGATGAAAACAAAGTTGGATACTGTTTATAGAGACATTTCGCCATCCACGACCACAGTTAGATATTGCTTCAGCGAATTTAAACGTGGGCAAAGATCCGTTTTTGATAGGAGCGACCAAGAAGCCTGGCAAACGTTGTTACCGAGGAATTCATTTTACGGATTTTTTTGGGAAAAGAACGATCACTGGACAATACTACAGAGTTATTGGACCGCTTTGACAAAAAATTGAAGGAGACACGGACGCATTTGACGAAAAAGAAGGTGCGTTTTCAACACGATAACGCACCGACACATTCATCAGGAGTTGTTGCCGCCAAAATGAATTACGTTATGAATTTGCTGCCGCACACCCCGTACTCACTCGATTTGACTCCCTGCGACTTCATCTTGTTCCTTACCATGAAGAAATGACTAGCGAGAAAGAAATTTAGCTCAAACGAGGAAGTCATCGCCGAGACAGGGGGGATTTTGGAGGGGTAAAAAAATGGCAGGGTCGTTGGGAGAAGTGTATCTTTCTAAAAGGGGACTATGTTGAAAGATAAAAAAAAATTTTAAAAAAAAGGTGTCTTTATTTCTAACACGGGTACTTATTGAACCGCCCTCGTATTTCGTTAGAAAATTATTACATTGAACATTTCGTTGAATAGGCCTCAAATCCAGGACAATTCGAAAATGACATAGAACTTTGTTGGCAAAAGGGACAAACACAGGTAAGAAACCGCGCCTTAATAAAAATACAGCTTTAATTCCCGAAAATACCCGTTTAGGATTCAATATTCCATGGAGGAAAGGTGGGTATCAACACAGACCGACCAGACGAATCTCTGGTAGTCCACGGAAATATCAAGATAACGGGTCATATAATCCAACCCAGCGACATAAGGGCTAAGAAAAACATAGTGGAATGCGATACAGCAGCCCAATTGAGAAACGTACAAAAACTCAGAGTGGTCAGGTAAAACACACCTCTTATTATCAATTATCTTAAATTTTAATTTTAATTTTAAACATTTTTACGCAGGTACGAATATGAGCCCAGTTTTGCGTCGCAGCTGAGTAGAACTAATGAAAGTTCTGACACGGGAGTGATAGCCCAAGAAGTAGCCGAAGTATTACCTGAAGCTGTAAGCCCAGCTGGTGATCTCATATTGGACAATGGAATGTCAATAGATAATTTTCTCGTTGTCAATAAGGTAAAAACAATTAGAAAATTAATATATTAAAAGTCCTTTTCATCATCATAAGGTCGCCAATCCTAAGACTGGTTGGACACGCACCTCCACTCTTTCCTACCCTTAGCTAATCTTCGCATTTTCCTAAAACTAGAACAGCCCACATCCTTAACTATTTGCGAACAGTAATCTGATCTAGGTCTACCTCTTAACTCCTGTTTCTGCCTCTAATATGTCCCTGACTAGACCTTCATGCCTGAGAAGGTGTACTACCAACCTATCTCACCTATTTCTTATTGACTATTGGGATCCGTCAAATGGGAGGAGCCTAAAAACATGGCGCCGATTAGGGAAAATTTATCGTAGTTCCTATAGTGTACCGTGCAATTTCCAAGTTTTTAAATTACGATAAAATGATAAGTATTGACACAATATGTGATTGGGCTGACACAAAGCCTCGGAAAGGAAATTTCGTTGAAGGTGAGCGTGTTTTTAATGC